ACAAACAAAAGCTTTATTATGAAGGTTAAGTATAGTCCACGATTTGTATGAGTCCAAAATCAGTAAGTCCCAAAGGTCTCCCTGGCGTGCTACAACATGCCTTGCGAGCCATCTTCAAAGAACCAGCTGGTCTTCCGCACTATTGTGGAGCACTCTAATCAGTTTCCACACCTTCTGCACATATGCTGAATACCTGGAGCCCTTGATAAAAATGTATGTTCTCTTGTTAAGTGTTGACATTTGCCAAAATTATACATTTTGCTCTATTTAGTTAGGCCTCAATAAAATTTAAAACGCAATTTTAGACCCATTTGCAGACCTATAGCATGCAATGGTAGGCTGGAGTGGGTGGAGAGAAACAAGTTTTAAAAACTTGAGAACCGGCCAGGCGCGGTGGCTCACGCCTGTAATCCCAGCACTTTGGGAGGCCGAGGTGGATGGATCACGAGGTCAAGAGATCGAGACCATCCTGGTCAACATGGTGAAACCCCATCTCTACTAAAAATACAAAAAAATTAGCTGGGCACGGTGGCGCGTGTCTGTAATCCCAGCTACTCAGGAGGCTGAGGCAGGAGAATTGCCTGAACCCAGGAGGCGGAGGTTGCGGTGAGCCAAGATTGCGCCATTGCACTCCAGCTTGGGTAACAAGAGTGAAACTGTGTCTCAAAAAAAAAAAAAACTTGAGAACCGGCCGGGCACGGTGGCTCATGCCTGTAATCCTAGCACTTTGGGAGGCCAAGTGGGGTGGATCACCAGAGGTCAGGAGTTCAAGACCAGCCTGGCCATCATGGTGAAACCCCATCTTTAAAAAAATAAAAATATAAAATAAAAACTTGAGAATCACAGCTCTGGATTACATCACACATACCTCCCCCACCCCCAAATGTGGACCAAGAACACTGGGTCTGAAGTCAGACACCAAGAATCAAAACCCAACTCCATCACTAACTCACTATATGGCCTTGAACAAAAGCACAATTTCCTTGAGCCTGTTTCCTCACCTGGAAATTGGGGATAAAAAACACCTACCTCACAGGATAACTATGAGACTTAACTAAGATGGTTATAAAATACTTGGCATAGTATCTAAAACAAGCACTGAGAAAATGGTAGCTATGTTACCATCATTAGCATCTTGATTTCCATCATTTTAAAATCAATCTTTATTTGGTATTTCTCTCAGCCCTTCAAGACATACCTCAACCTGATGCAAATCTTTTAAAGAACTTACATATACACATGCCTAGCCTCATCTCTAGGGATTCTGATGCAGTTAAGTCTGGGATGGGAGCAGGTTTGGGAACCACACTGCTCTACGAAATGTGTGAGAAAACATAACTATAACCAGGACTACAAGAATGCCTAAGATAACCTGAATAGCTCCTTCAAGTTCCCTTTTTTTTTTTTTTTTTTGAGACAGAGTCTTGCTCTGTTGCCAGGCACCAGGCTGGAGTACAGTGGCGCGATCTCGACTCACTGCTCACTGCAACCTCCGCCTCCTGGGTTCAAGCAATTCTCCTGCCTCAGCCTCCCAGGTAGCTGGGACTATAGGCGCACGCCATCATACCCAGCTAATTTTTTTTTTCTATTTTTAGTAGAGACGGGGTTTCACCATGTTGGCCAGGATGGTCTTGATCTCTTGACCTCATGATCCACACCCGCTTTTGGCCTCCCAAAGTGCTGAGATTACAGGCTTGAGCCACCAAGCCCGGCCTCTTTTTTTTTTTTTTTTCTTGAGACAGAGTTCTCACTTTGTCAGCAGGCTGCAATACAGTGGTATGATCTCAGCTCAGTGCAACCTCCTCCTTCCCAGGTACAATCGATTCTCCCATCTCAGCCTCCTGAGTAGCGGGGATTACAGGTGTACACCACCATGCCCAGCTAATTTTGCTATTTTTAGTAGAGACGGGGTTTCACCATGTTGGCCAGGCTGGTCTCTGGTCTCGAACTCCTGACCTCAGGTGATCCACCCACCTTGCCCTACCAAAGTGCTGCAATTACAGGCGTGAGCCACTGTGCCCAACCTGCTTCTCCATCTAACAGGGCACCCCTGGATGGTACAGAAGGAACAAATGGAAGGAAAATCAGTATCTGGTTTATTCCTTTAGCAGGTCTCATTACCCAAGAGATGGGCTTTCATGATTCATCAGCCAGAGAAGGCAATGAAGGGAATCACAACAAACATCAGACACCAAAACAAAATATAAAGCCTATCACATGAATATGTGTCTACTTAGTTCCCTAAAAGAAGCTACAAAACTACCTTAATATAATTCTCCCTTGCCGGGTGCGGTGGCTCAAGCCTGTAATCCCAGCACTTTGGGAGGCCGAGGCGGGTGGATCACGAGGTCAAGAGATCGAGACCATCCTGGTCAACATGGTGAAACCCCGTCTCTACTAAAAATACAAAAAAATTAGCTGGGCATGGTGGCACATCCCTGTAATCCCAGCTACTCAGGAGGCTGAGGCAGGAGAATTGCCTGAACCCAGGAGGCGGAGGCTGCAGTGAGCCGAGATCGCACTATTGCACTCCAGCCTGGGAAACAAGAGCGAAACTCCATCTCAAAAAAATATATATATATATGTATATATATATAAAATTCTCCTCACACAGTGTAAACCAGTTTTTCGGAGTGTGGTCTTTGAGTCACCTATATCTAAACATGAGGAGCTTAACTGGGCCCACCAAATCTGCAGTTTTACCAGGTCATTCTCATGCTCAGTATTTGGAAGTACTTCCCACAGTAGCTAAAAATTTTCGCCTCAAGTAAGTGAATCTTAAACACAAAAGATCAAACTTATGCTTGATCTTAAAAGGAAGAAACAATAGAACATAAATAATTCAGTAAAACACAGTAGTCCACAACAAAAGCTATGAAGCTAGAAATCCTGAGTTTACATTTCTATTTCACAACGCACTAGCCATTTGACACTGGGCAAATGTGACCCAGTTTTCTCATCTGTATAATAGAATACTACCACCTACCTCAGAACCATGAGGCTAACAAGTTACCAAAGCTCTTAGAAGGCTGCCAAGCCAGGCACAACGACTCACATCTATACTCTCGGCACTTTGGGAGACGGAGGTGGGAAGATCGCTTGAGACCAGGAGGAGTTCAAGACCAGCCTGGGCAACATAATGAAATCCCATCTCTATTAAAAAAAAATTTTAAATAAAAAATCAGCCTGGCATAGTGGCATCTGCCTTTAGTCCCAGCTATGCAGGAGGGTGAAGCAGGAGGATGGCTTGAGCCCAGAAGGTTAAGGCCACAATGAGCCATGATCATGCCACTGCACTCTAGCCTGGGCAACAGAACAAGACGCTGTCTCCAACAAAAAAAAAAAAAAAAAAAAAAAAAAAAACCCTTGTGGCTAATGGCTGTGATTCTTATTTGCTGAATCTTTGGAATTTACATCCATTTCCAATGATATAATACAAACCCATGAAGTCTCATATTTTGCATTGCTTCAAACTCAGGTTCTTCTCAAGTAAAACAAAACTAGGTGGCCGGGCGCGGTGACTCACGACTATAATCCCAGCACTTTGGGAGGCCGAGGCGGGTGGATCACGAGGTCAAGAGATCGAGACCATCCTGGTCAACAAGGTGAAACCCCGTCTCTACTAAAAATACAAAAATTAGCTGGGCAAGGTGGTGCGTGCCTGTAGTCCCAGCTACTCGGGAGGCTGAGGCAGGAGAATTGCCTGAACCCAGAAGGCGGAGGTTGCGGTGAGCCGACATCTTGCCACTGCACTCCAGTCTGGGTAACAACCGCGAAACTCCGTCTCAAAAAAACAAAACAAAACTGGGTGACTGACTCTGAAAGCGGCACAGGTTAAGAATCTGTTTTCCAGATCTGTTGCAAGAAGATGGAAAAAGACAAAAGAATTGAAAACTCCCAAACTCTTCACAGCAAAATAGAACTGCGTTTAATCATCCATATCAGAGAAAATTCAGAAAAGCAATTGGGTGATTGGGCAAAGGTACAAGACTATCCAATAAAGAACTCACACACATCTTGCCATTTTCCCTCCCTCTCACAATTTGCATTTACACAAGTCAATTTCCTGAAATAGGAATCTGGCAACATCCACCAAAAAGTCCAACCATATGTAAAATGGCATCGCACTGTAAAGCTCATATTACAGTATCAGGACAATTGATACTTTTAACAGCAGCAATGGCTGCCAGGCAGCGGTCCTGAATTGAAGACCTGTAAAAGGGAGAAAATAATACAACACAGAAAAAGAAACCTGATAATAAAATGGAGAAACCGATTCTCTGGGAAGAGCATACACAAATCCCAAGGCAAAATTCAGAAAGATGTTGTTTTCCCTCAAAACAAAGAGCCTTAATGCCCAAAATGCCAGAGTTCTGAATCGTGAGTACCCGAAAACAGCAATAAGGATAACGGGGAGGATATGTGGGTGAGAGATGACCTGGATTCTCATGGGAAGAACAGCAGACAAAGCTTAGAGGTACACGGAATACAGTTTTAGGCCTGGTGCAACTCAGGGGGCAGCTAACCATTTTCCAGTAAGCCCGAAATTGAGGAATAAAAGGGACTTAAAGTATTAGAGAGCAGCTCTTTGGCAACCCACGGAAAACAGACATTGGGGATTCAAAGGATTTGGGGGGAGGGGAGGTGGATATGAGTCAAAAGCAGCCTTCTCGAAGATAAAATCATGTGATCGTGGGGAAAAGAATGCCCGAGGACCTAAGACAAGGGAGCACAGGTCCTGGGAAAAAGCCCACCACTTCAACAAGCCGGAAGCGTAGACCAATGAGCGCGGGGGGGGGGTGTCCCCCAAAGGTGCTGTTTTCGGGGCACCCGAGGCCTCTAAGTCGGGTGTCAAGCCAAGCACCAACAAGGGACCACCGTGCGGGGACAGTGTCCGCGCGCGGGAAAAACTGCAGCCAGGCCGGAAAGGGGTAGGGCAGGGCGGGGCGGGCCGGATGGGGGGCAGGGAGGGCCTGGAGGGCGCCCCACGGGACACTTACGCGGCCGCTTTTTCTTCAGGCTTTCGACGCGCTGACGGGTGACCGCGGTGGGGCCGCTGTAGGAGCCCAGTCGGTCCCGCCTCGCGCCCTCCGCCGAGGCCCCGACCGCGGGCACCGACGCGCTGCTAGCCCGGCGCCGCAGTGGCTCCCGCCGCCGCCCTTCGGGGCCCCCGGCCGCCTGCTCCCCAGCCGACGAGGTGGAGGTGGCGGAGGCCCTGCCGTGGCGCTCCATGGGCGCGCCGAGCCGGCCCGCTCCCATCCGCAGCAGCCACCGCTGCCGCCCGAGCCAGCCCCCCAGCGTCGGACTCCTCTTGCCTTCTCCACGGTAGTCCAGCCAGAGCAGAGGCGCGCCCTCGGCCGGCCGCCTCTTCCGTTGCGCCAACGCGCAGGAAGCCAATCCGACGAGGCTGGAGGCGGCCCGAAGGCCTCGCGTCCAATCGGCTCCCTAACTAGATGAGGATTGACCGTATCCCTGTCCAATCAGAGGCTCCCGTGACTGGGCGGGAGAAGCTGTTGGAGGAGGGGATCCGGGTTCCGCGGAGGAGTAGAAGGCGGTATAGCCGAAAAGAGAGTGATGGCGGCGCCGCCCAATGGACACGTGGGTGGAAGGGCCCGCGCCTCCTCATCCACCCCCGCCATCAGCACCCCCCCTTCCCCGGTCCATGGGTCTGCTCCCCGGGCCGCGGAACTCTCCTGGGGCGACCCCGAGTCCCACCCCGCTGCTCCGTGCAGTCCTCGTAGCTCGAGCCCTCCTCAAGCTCAGTAGTGCTTCCGCAGCGCCTGGCCGCCGGTCGTCGGCAGACCAAAGGGCTTGAATCGCGGCTGACCTTAGCCTTTGTCCGTCGGCCTTGTTCCTCAGCTGCCGTCGAGGCCTCCAGCCCCTCCCGCAGCATGTTTGGGCTTAGCCTCCTCCTTTCCGCCTGCGTTGGATGGAGACGTTCCCGGTACCAGAAGGAATGAAAGGACTGGGGCTGGTCTCCATGGCAACTGATAGAAAGGTGGGTTATAAATCCTTCGCCACCCTCCTGTGGCGAAGGAGGGGAAGTGGGAGCCGGCAAGTAGAGTTGGCCTTTTGCAGGAGCGTCTGGAGACCCTTTCTGAGTGATAAACTGGGGACATAGAAGGATTTGACTGCCGCTGTGAAGCCTGGATTTTTTTTTTTTTTTTTTACATCGTCTGCCCTTCTCTTTTGGAGAGAAAACTTGGTCACCTCCAGGCCTGAGACCCTGACCTTTCCAAGCATCCCCACTACCAAAGGCTGCCCAAGCCCGGAAGGATCCCACCCTGTTCTGTACTCCCGGGTGACTTCCTCACTCCTTGGAGTTTAACTGGACTGTGGGCCAATTAAAAGTGCCTCCCTATTAGCCGGTAGTGGTGGCACATGCCTGTAATGCCAACTACTTGGGAGGCTGAGGCAGGAGAATCTCTTGAACGCAGGAGGTGGAGGTTGCAGTAAAAAGGAGGGCTCTGTGGGGAGACTGTAATGCCCCTCGGGCAGTGACCCTTATTTTCTTCTCTCCCGTATGATTGGTTGTACCAGGCTGAACAAAAAGGTTGAGCTTTACTTGTGCTTGTTGAAAAGAATTCACATGCCTACTCCAGGTTAGCTCCCCTCACTGTGGGACTAGCTCTGAAAATTCCAGCACCTGCAGGAAGCCAACCCAGATGGATCTCAAGAACGAAGAACAGTTGTAGCTACTCTTCTAAATCTCAGTGCCTGACATTGCCTCTCTTTCTGCCTTCTCTCCCCACCCCCCAAAAAATGTGATACTCCTTGACCTGAAGGAGCTTCCATCCAAGTCTGTGAGTGCTCATCATTTCTGAAGAATCAAAGTATCATCTTCATCATCCCTTGGCTTGCAAGATGAACTCCAACATCAAAACACTTGAAACAGTAGTATTTTTACAATTTACCCACTGCCTTTACATCTCACTTAGTCCTTCCAGTAACATTTGGATGATGAGGCAACTTATCCAGAAGCACAAAGCCTAAAGAATGACAGAGCCTGGACTCCTAAGAAATTCAGCTACTGCCAACCTTAATATAATCAAAAGAAGGCACAGCAGAAGTTGGAGAGCAGCCTGGGCAACGGAGAGAAACCCCCACTTCTACAAAAAAATTAAAAAGTTAGTCCAGGCACAGTGGCTGACACCTGTGATCCCAGCACTTTGGAAGGCTGAAGCGGGCGGATCACTGGAAGTCAGGAGTTTGAGACTAGCCTGGCCAACATGGTGAAACTCTGTCTCTACTAAAAATACAAAAATTAGCTGGGTGTGGTGGCACACACCTGTAATCCCAGTTACTCTGGAGGCTGAGGCAGTAGAATAGCTTGAACTCGGGAGTCAGAGGTTGCAGTGAGCCAAGATTGCTCTGCACTCCAGCCTGGGCAACAGAGCGAAACTCAACCTCAAAAAAATAATTTAAAAAAATTTTTAATTAAAAAATTAGCTGGGAAGGCCGGGTGCGGTGGCTCAAGCCTGTAATCCCAGCACTTTGGGAGGCTGAGGCGGGTAGATCACGAGGTCCAGAGATCGAGACCATCCAGGTCAACATGGTGAAAACCCGTCTCTACTAAAAATACAAAAATTAGCTGGGCGTGGTGGCGCGTGCCTATAATCCCAGCTACTCAGGAGACTGAGGCAGGAGAATTGCCTGAACCTGGGAGGCGGAGGTTGCGGTGAGCCGAGATCGCGCCATTGCACTCCAGTCTGGGTAACGAGCGAAACTCCGTCTCAAAAAAAAAAAAAGTAGCTGGGTATGGTGGTGTACACCTGTGGTTCCAGCTACTGGAGAGACTGAGGCAGGAGGCTCCCATGAGCCCAAGAGGTTGAGGTCATAGTGAACCATGAGCATTCCAGCCTGTGTGACAGTGAGACTGTCAAAAAAGCATAGGTTCAGTGAAACTCCAATAAATTACTGAAACGTTTTTTTCTCTTAAGTACATATATGAGTCTTCACTCTCCAGTATATTTGTGAACTGGATGCAAGTCTGTGGCTGTTATTAAAGTAATCTAAAATAACAGGTAAAGCACGTACTAAGGGCAACTAGGCAGGGTGTTTATAATCCTAAATCAAAAATGCAAACGGAGCCAATTGTCGTGGCTCATGCTTATAATCCCAACACTCTGGGAGGCTTAGGTAGGCGGATCACTTGAGGTCATCAGTTCGAGACCAGCCTGGTCAACATGATGAAATCCCATCTCTACTAAAAATATAAAAGTTAGCCGGGCATAGTGGTAGGCACCTGTAATCCCAATTACTCGGGAGGCTGAGGCAGGAGAATTACTTGAACCCAGGAGGCAGAGGCTGCAGTGAGCCAAAATGGCACCACTGTACTCCAGTCTGGGTGACAGAGCCAGATTCCCTCTAGAAAAAAAAAAAAAAAAAAAAAAAAAAAAAAAACGAAAATAGGCTGGGTCTGCTGACTCATTCCTGTAATCCCAGCACTTTGGGAGGCCAAGGCAAGAGGTTCACTTCAGGCCAGGAATTCAAGATCAGCAACATAGCAAGACTCCATCTCTACAAAAAAAATTTTTTAATAGTAGCCAGGTGTACAGCAGGGTGCGGTGGCTCACAGTGTAATACCAGCACTTGGGGAGGCTGAGGTGGGCAAATCACGAGGTCAAGAGATCCTGGCCATCCTGGCTAACATGGTGAAACCCCATCTCTACTAAAAAATATAAAACTTAGCTGGGCATGGTAGTGCGTGCCTGTAGTCCCAGCTATTCAGGAAGCTGAGGCAGGAGAATCGTTTGAACCTGGGAGGCAGGGGTTGCAATGAGCCAGGATCACACCACTGCACTCCAGCCTGGCAACAGAGACTCTATCTCAAAAATATATATATATATATTAGCCAGCTGTGGTGGTGCGCACCTGTAATCCTAGTTAGGAGGCTGAGCCTAGAAGTTTGAGGGTACAGTGAGCTATAATCTCACCTTTACACTCCAGTTGGGCTATAGAACAAGACCATCTCCAAGAAAATAAATTGAGCAAACCAGACAAGAAAATACATACTCTGTAATTCTATTTATGTTAAGTTCCACATTAAAATAAGCTGTGGGGAGGGAGGATGATGCTTACTTTTGGGAAAGGGGGAGAGAAAATGAAGACAGCCGGGTGCAGTGGGTCATGTTTGTAATCCCAGCACTGTGGGAGGCTGAGGCAAGCAGATCACTTGAGGCCAGGAGTTCAAAACCAGCCTGGACAACATGGTGAAACCCCATCTCTACTAAAAATACAAAAATTAGGCCAGGCACAATGGCTCACGCCTGTAATCCCAACACTGGGAGACCAAGGCAGGTGGATCACCTGTGGTTAAGAGTTAAAGACCAGCCTGACCAACATGGAAGAAACCCCATCTCTAAAAAAAATAAGAATGAAGATGACCAGATAGGCTTCTAAAACGCTAGTGATAATTCTGTTTCTTTGATCTGGGTTGAGGTCACATGTGTGTGTTGACTTTGTAATATGTTATCAAGATGTTTTGTGCACTTTTCTGGGTATTATACTTAAAACTTTTTTTTTTTTCCCAGACAGAGTCTTGCTCTGTCACCCAGGCTGGAGTGCAGCAGCGCAATCTCGGCTCACTGCAAGGATCTCTGCCTCCCAGGTTCAAACATTTCTGCCTCAGCCTCCCAAGTAGCTGGGATTACAGGTGCCTGCTACCACACCCAGCTAATTTTTGTATTTTTAGTAGAGACGGGGTTTCACTGTGTTGGCCAGGTTTGTCTCAAATTCCTGACCTTGTGAACTACCTGCCTCAGCCTCCCAAAGTGCTGGGTTTACAGGTGTGAGCCACTTCGCCTGGCCAAACATTTATTTTTTAAAAAATTGAAATATTGCTGGCCGGGCGTAGTGGCTCACACCAGTAATCCAAGCGCTTTGGAGGCCAAGGCAGGCGGATCACCTGAGGTCGGGAGTTCAAGACCAGCCTGACCAACATGGTGAAACCCTGTCTTTTTTTTTTTTTTTTTTTTCCACCCACCTTGGCTTCCCAAAGTGCTAGGATTACAGGCATGAGCCACCGCACCCAGCCAGACACAGAGGCTAAAAGACCAAGTACTTTCTCTTGTCATTGTGCTTCATCAGTGCCAGGGACATGAATGGTGTAGATCAGGCCTCTTTCAAACACAAGGCCTTTTTTCTAGAGTGTAATGATTTGAGGACTTGGGAAGACCTTACCTACTTAACTGTGTCTCTCAAAGGACAAACGTATGAGATGGGGGCGGGGGCGGGGGAAGGACAAAGCTATGAAGAACATAAAGTTCTTAAACCCCTTGACACTCTTCCAAGGCCTGGCCTGTATCCCAGAGTTCACTGCTTAAAAGAGGCAGAGATGTGTGTTATATGCACACATACATACACACAGTATAGCTGGCATTGTGGTGACCTCGATGGAACTCATCGGCAATATGAGAGCATTGACTGCTTTTGCAAATAAAGTCTCCACTTGTCTCAGAAAACAGAAAAAATTCAAGATGAAATACAATGAATTAAGGACAAGTCAGTTTCCTAAATATGGAAGATCCTATCCCTTCCCAAGTATTGAAAGAGATGAAAATTTTCACCTGTGATGAGAGCTGTCCCTGGCACCATCTGAGTGGAACGCTCATTGGACCAGCCATGCAGCTGTCTGAACCGACTGAAGCCCTGTCCCTTACTCCTCAGGCACCTGACGCTTAACTTGCCTCCTGGGAAATAATTAGCAAGCCTTTACTTGGAACAATTATTAATCATGTTCTTTAGTAATTACTGACATTTGTATTTTAAGCTGTATACCAATGTTCATATTTGACGCTGATTTTCTAACCATTAGAGATATTTAATTAAAACTTGTAAATGAAAGAAAAAAAGAAAATTTTCCCTTAGTTTTCAAGCTCAAGGTCTATCTTATCTTTGACTAAATAGCCCTGATTTGTATACTTTTAACTTCCTGGTAACTACTAATAGTCTAGTGCTTTTATTTATTTTTATTTATTTTATTTGTTTTTTTGAGACAGTATCTCTGTCTCCCAGGCTGGAGTGCAATGGCATGATCTTGGCTCACTGCAACCTCTGTCTACTGGGTTCAAACGATTCTCCTGCTTTAGCCTCCTGAGTAGCTGGGATTACAGGCGCACACCACCAGGCCCAGCTAATTTCTGTACTTTTAGAAACAGGGTTTCACCATGTTGGCCAGGCTGATTTAAACTTCTGATCTCAGGTGATCCACCTGCCTCGGCCGCCCAAAGTGCTGGGATTACAGGGACGAGCCACCATCCCCAGCCTATTTTTTTTTTAAGAAACAATCTCGGGGCCAGGTGTAGTGGCCCTTGCTTGTAATCCCAGCACTTTGGAACACCAAGGCAGTTGGATCACATGAGTCCAAGAGTTAGAGACCAGCCTGGGCAATGTGGCAAAACCCCATCTACAAAAATTAGGCATGGTGGCACATGCCAGCTACTCAGGAGGTTGAGGTGGGAGGATCATCTGAACCAGGGAGGAGGAGGTTGCAGTGAACCAAGATTGCACCACTGCACTCTAGCCTGGGCCACAGAGGGAGACCCTGTCTTGATATAAAAAAAAAAGGATCTCACTCTCACCCAGGCTGGAGTGCAGTGGCATGATCATAGCTCATGGCAGGCAGCCTCAAACTCCTGGACTCAAGAGAACTCGTGGCTTCACCTTCCCAAGTAGCTGAGACGACAGGCATGAGTCAGCACATCCAACTCAAGTCTAGTGCTTTAATAGCTGTTACTCAGAAAAGCAAACAGGTTTGAGAAATACGGTAAAGTTAAGTACTACTTAAAGCTTTTAACACACTAATGGGCATAATGAGTCTCCAGGAAGAGCCAGGGTATGTAACTATCTTCTAAATGTAGTTGACCATGGAACCCTTTTTTCACAGAAGGGCTTATTCCTCAGAACACAGAAATTCTTCTAGCATAAAATCACTTGCAACTCTGTTATACTGAAGGCAATGAAGATCTGGTTTTTCTTTCTACTTTGAAAGCTTGATTGCCAGTATTATTTTCACTCCCAAATAAACCTATTTATAAAAGCATCTCTCTCCCAAAAATAAGTGTCTTCGTTTCTCTTAAACAGTTCCACTTTCCCACTTTCCTTAGTTCTCCTAATGATACTGCCATTTCTGTGGCTGAGTAACTTGATTCTTCTCCCTCATTTGCCCCTTTCCTTGAATCGAGCACTGTTCAAGAGAAACATAATGCAAACCACATGTGTAACTTAAAATTTTCCAGCAGCCACATTTTAAAAAGTAAAAACAAGTTGATTTTAACATTATATTGTATTTAACCCAATATAGCCGAAATATTCTCATTTCTACATGAGGCACTAGTCACATTTCAAGTAGTCAATAAATAGCCACATATGTCTAATGGCTACCACAAACAAAAAGCTCTAATTAGTAATTTATTTCAATGGCCCCCTAAATGTTCTGCCTCTAGTCTCTCTATTCTCCAGGATCACAACTCCCAGGGTAATCTTATTAAAGCATTATTCTGTTTATAGTCTCACCTGTTTTAAAAGATTTTGATGGCTTCTTTGCCTACAGAATGAAGTTCAAATAACTTGACATCCAAGGAACTCCACCATTTGGTATCTACCTACTTTTTCTCATTACTTTATTGTGCTTGTATAACTTCAAACAAATCTCACAATTCTCTAGATAAGCCTTATTCTCACCCAGCTCTAGGCTTTGGCTCATCCTTCATCTCTACATCTCTACATAAAATTCCTTCTTGCCACATTTCTGCTTATCAAAATCCAATCCAGGGCCAGGTGCAGTGGCTCAAGCCTGTAATCCCAGCACTTTGGGAGGCCGAGGCAGGTGGTTCTCGACGTCAAGAGATCGAGACCATCCTGGTCAACAAGGTGAAACCCCATCTCTACTAAAAGTACAAAAAATTAGCTGGGCATGGTGGCGCATGCCTGTAGTCC